ATTAAAGGAGCTAAATCGCTAATATTTGGGACCTAGAAATTGACACAAGTGGGTCGCAACTCATATAATACCGTAATATGAATGTATATAAACTGATTTACATTCAATCGTTTCCGTTTTTACTCTAATTTCAAATCAGTTATGTTCCGTGAAATAAGCCAGCAGTCTCAATCGAGTGCAAATTCCTAGCGTCTGGTTATTCCAGTCTACATAAGCCGTTTGGTTTGGTGCAATATGTCTAGCCTCGATCCTCTAGTCTCTTGCTAGAACTGGGGCTGAAACGCATTATGGTACACGATTCGTGTACCAATGGTAAAATATTTATTTTGTCTTAAATATTGGATATCAGAAGCCCACCCTTTTCCGGTAAGATCACAGCATCAATGTTGTTTTAAATTGACAAATAATTCGTGTTTTAAATATTGAAGATTTTGGATGATATTGAGTTAGAGACTTAGCTCCTTTAAACATCATTTTGAAGTTGTAATGAAACTCACGCATTGTTCTGTTCGCGTCAAGCATTCTCGTCCCAAAGACTGTTTTGCCTTTTATGCGAAAAGACAAAAATGTGACTTAGATCGTCCTTCCCCTGGACTCTTCATTTGTGATATCAAAATTAATACTTTGCATTCCTCAAAAAACATCAACGTCGCTTATTCTCCCCATATTTTTAGGGTCATAAATGTGCAAAACTCTGTTTTAGTCACTTGTCAAGTTATCTTTACCCCGGCGTCTTGGAAAAAAAATAAACGAATAGTTTATATGATGAATTTGTTTTTCTATTTTGCCTCCTTAAAGTTTCCTGTCAAAATCGTACAGAACTGATTTTATTGCATATCGGTAAAACTAACGTGTAGCGTAGTAGGTACATGTATATTGTATGTTTTTTTATGTAAAATCACGGTTTCTGTGTTTTGTCAATGTGACCTCTGGTTACTTCAGATATAATGACGATACACACAATGTATTTCTCAAACATTTTCATAAATTGTCTTAGGAACCTGCGAAGCTATGTACAAATCTTTATGTCATAACCCGTATTTTTCTGTATATTTTCGGAGCTAGCTTTACAATTGTCAGTGGACACGCCTCCATCGACCTTTCATTCAACCGGTTCAGCATATATTCGTGAATAACTAAAAACGAATCCAGGAATTCACGAATAAAGAAAAGCCACCGAAATATTCACGTTTAAAATTTAATAGATCCTTATTCGGCAGTCCACCTGTGGTTTAGTTTATAATATCAACTTGATTAGCCCGGATAGATCAGGAAAAATAAGCCGTTAAACCCCATTTCATTTAATTTAGTTTAAAATGATAATCCATAAAATATACACTTTCATTTAAATAAACTAGGGTGGTTCGTCGAAATGATGAGAATAAGGATGCACCAACAGTCTTAAATAAACATAGCCACCTAAAACAGAAAAAAAACCTAGATTATTATTCGACGTGCGAATTACAAATAACGAGGCAACTCTATAATCGGTACTTTATCTTAAGATTACAATAATATTGACAAATATCCAATTTAAATATTAACTTTTGGTATTCTTTGTAATGATCATAATAAAGATTCCTCAGCAGTGTAAAGTAATAATATCTCCCAAAGCTGTAGTAAAACCAGATGTTATCAAGAAGCTTTAATGATCTTTATCCCAGTGGCGGATACAGGGTTTCTGGAAAGGTGGGGTGCAAACTACATTCTTGACGAGCACAGCGATGCAAAAAATACTTTGACCGATTCTTACGATATTTCCGAGGAACAAATCAACTTTTGTAACATGTGCATTTTGTTACATGTTACATTAACATGTAACAGTCTGAGACATTCTTTTCGTTTCAAATGTTTGCGTAAGATTGAAGCTAGGGTAACATTAAAACATTGTGTAATTCTTATTTCCGTTTCATATGTTTGCGAAATATGGTTCGTAGCGTTGCTTTTATTTCTTACCGATATATGGGAGCCCATAGCATTCCCGACAAAGAAATGTAAGAACCCCGATCAAACCCAAACTATTTTTCATAGCTTGATATATACAAATGTGCCTTTTACGTTTTAATATAATAAAAGACATGTCGATTGTGCCTATTGCGATTTTATAACATTTACATAATAATGTAAGTTAATTGCATGTATTGTGCCTCAATAGGTCGGCCAAAGCTAGTATACAAAAGTCCAATTTAACTTCTTTGACATGTGCATTTTATGTGTATATGTAAAACAAACACTCGAGCCGAGCGATGCGAATCAATTTACTTGATAATGGTAACATTTTGTTTTTCAAATGATCGGCACACGCCTTTTTTTTTAAATCGTACTTAATATCAACCAAACCAGACAAAAAAGAAGACTATTCCTACAGTTCAGGCTAGTATAATTTCCTAACTGACTGACGAGGACAAATAAGTACGGAAGCGTATTAGGACCTTACTCCTTGTCACGTACAGGCTTTATGATACAGCGCGCACGTGCTAACCATTCGCCCCCCTCCCCTAAAGAAACAAACAATGTACTAGTGAAAATATAATCATAGTGAGTGTGTTATAGTTGTCCCTGGAACCGTCTGGTGATTTAGAAAAACGAGTGGACAGTTTTAAAAATATCAATATCAATTCCGTACAATAAGATCGTAGTGTTTCGATGGAAAATAGATAAAAAAAAATTTGTATTATTTCGGGCATCCTAATTAGTACTTAACATTAGGGAAAAATAAATAAAAAAGAATAGCCACGCAAAGCGTGGAAATACGTCCATAGAGCAGCCATGTTTGGAGAAAACGATAGGCATAGACAGCAGCTTATCCAAAAGAAAAACTGTAGCCTCTATTGCGTCCACAGGGTTTACGACAAGGGCTCTCCCTCTCATGACGCCAATGCTTAAATCTCGGTTTAAAATCCAATATAATCGGTAGCCTCTATCACGTACGCGAGTGTTTCGGCTAGTGGATTTGGGTGGGGATGGATGTAACTCCGAAACGTACAGTCGAGGAACGAAAGCTAACATCGATACGGTTCTTCCTCTCAATACATGAGCCCCTCCACAAGGGCTGTTCTATAGCCCTTTTTGACCCCAAAAAGTATTTAAATTCTGTTCATTTCTCTGAGAAATCGTCTGCACTTTTTTAAAAAGAAATAAGTTGCAAATTTTAGAACGCATGTTGTCTACAGTGGCCTGATTTTCCGAAGTTCCTTTATTAAACGGATTATTTGTTAACTAGCAATATCTAACCGGTTATTTACTGGGGGCTTTTCTTATCAGCCAGATCTATCTGGTCGCGCGGTTTCTGGTGTGGTCCGGATTTTATCGATAATTAAACTCTGATGAATTAAACGGCACGTTCGATGACAAAAGAGACAGCGCATTCTTATATGGCGTAACTTATAAAAGGTAATATAAATATTGACAATCTGACATGATTTTAGTTAGAAAAGCTTCTGTCGGTGTTCAAGTAGCAACCGTTGGCCGTAAACAAAATTCATGGCATTGCCTGTCGGTATCCGTAGTGATGAGACCAAAGGACAAGAAAACAAATCTGAACTTGACGAGCAACAAATTTCTGAAAATGAAGTACCTGTCGACAAAAAAAGTTTATTTTCCCGGTGTAGTATTCATATAGAGTCCGAAAACATACATTGGCCAGAAAAACTGAAAAATGTTGACAATGGGTGGAGTTGGGTGGTGCTTGTAGCCTGTTTCATACTCCAGGTATTTGTCGCTGCCACATTTAGTACGTATGGTATAATGTTACAGGCTTTGACTAAAGACATGAATCGCTCAACGTTTCAACTTTCCTGGATCAGCTCGATATCTGGAGGGGGGACGTCTGCATTTTGTAAGTATCCGGCAAATAAAAATCGATAATTAGCTTAAACCCAATTCTTTGATAGAATTTGGATCTTGAACATTACGATTGGCTTATACCCAATATTTCACACCGTTTAAAGCCCCTGTGTCGATAACCGTATTTCTTTGTACGTAGCCATGCATAAAATAAAGTAGAATACGGAGTGAAAGGCCGTACTCAATCATAAAAACACAAATCAAACCCCAAATCCTTCATTTAATGTTTACTTAGTTTCTATATATTCAACACTCCATCTTTAATAGTCGGCCTCTATAACAATATACACGACTGGCCACTGTTAATAGTTCTTTTTAATGCTCCTTATTTACATTCTAATCCACGCTTTCTTGTCTTCAGCTCATCTAGCTGGTATTGTAATACAAAGATATGGGTATCGCAAGGCAGCATTCATTGGGACCATTTTAATCTCTGGTGGAAATATCCTTAGCTATTTTGCCACTGACCATTACTTTTTATATATTACCATGGGATTCATGACGGGTAAGTTCGTTTTTCTTGTTAACTTTACAGGACATTAATATAGAAATAGATATCTAAGAAATTGTAAACCTTATAATTAATCAGATGGCACCACTTGAATATTGGGACGTCAAACCCCAAGTTTCAACTTGAAATTTAACTTGACAACTCAGTTATTTGTATATGATAAACACTGACCACTCCAATGCTAAAAAATGGCTAGAATTCCGAATCCGTTCTCTGGAGTGATAGAAAAGGTTTTTAGACGGATTATTTAATCTCTGCCTCTTCCCATAAAATACTGAGAAATACTTTAGGATTGTCTTTTATTTCCTGTTAGGCTGAATAATTGTAAGACTGAAAATCGGCATAGTTAGGACTTTATTTACTTATTTATATATAGCATTTATAAAAAATAAAATAAAATAAAATTATTTATTTTTATTGCAGGCTTGGGTCTAGCTTTTATTAACATGTCATCACTAATAATAATCTACGACTACTTCTATCTGAAGAGAGCGGTCGCCATGTCTATTGCTAATGCTGGCTTGTCTGTTGGAAATTTCATCTTCCCTTATATTATGAATTATTTAAATGAAGAATATGGATGGAGAGGTTGCTCTTTGCTAATTGGGGGATTTTTTCTGAATGGTTTATGGTGCTGTTTGGTATTTAAAACACAGGATCCATCGACAGTAGTTAAATTGATATTTAAAGGTAACGAAATAACCCGATTGTTGATTTGCATTGTTAATAATAATTTTATGCTGAAAAATCATTTGGCCATAATATTTGTATTGGGTTAAAGTGGGCGGAAAAGACAGCTGGCTGTATTTCAACACTGACGACTATGGATTAACACGATCCCCATTTCGTTTCGCTAATCTACGTACTCAATCTTTTCAGATAAAATGGAATCCAAAAACACCAAAGAAGTGAAGGAAAATAAACCTACCTGTCTTTTGAAAGATGCCCTTTTTTACAAATGTGTAATCTCACAGTTCATAATTGGAATATGTTGTACTATATATGTCACTTACCTACCACTTTTGTCTACTGAACAATTTGGAGAAGAGGATAGTGCCGGAACATTCTTGCTGTCGATGATTGGGATAGGAAGTCTGATTGGAAGATTGATTTTTGGACTAGTTGTCAATAAATGGTCCAAGTCTGCCACATTGGTTTATGCGGCATGTGCTGCGGGTTGTGGATTGTGCTACCAAATTGTTACCTTTTGTAATTCAATACCTCCGATGTTCGTAGTGACTACAGCTCAAGGTATATTTAACGGTAAGTTAACTTCCATAAATCCACTTTATTCTTTACTGTAGTAGTTATCCCGCCTTGACATGACATACTCTTACAGTATTTGCGTTCGAGGCGCGGCCATTTTATCCGGCAGTTTCGGGCCGATTTTTACGAAATTCGTACTCAACGCTCATTATGGTGTAACGGTGATCTATTTAAACGTTTTTGTTTTTAATCGGATAAAAATTGTGACCTCTAGTTGAATCACAAGTTAAAAACGTGATTTTTCGTACAATCAGGGGCCATAATCCTGGAAGTTATCATCCGATATGCGCGAATTTCGAAATTTGGGTTATAAACACACGTCAGGTTTCATCAAAATCGAATAAAATAAATGTGATCTTTAGAGTGTCCACAAACTAAAAATGTGATTTTTCGTACAATCTGGGGTCATAATCCATGAAGTTACGATCCGATACATGCCAATTTCGAAAAGAACCGGGATCTTTGGGAAATACACCTATATTTCGTGTAAATCGGATAAAAATTGTGACCTGTAGAGTGTCCACTTTCAAAATGTGAACGGACATACGGACGGACGACAAAATTTGAACAAAGGTATATGGCCAAATTAGGGTCAAATGCTTGTTTGATATTTATTCTACCGAGGAAAATATTCTTTTTTTGAATACATAAGGCGTCGATGGAGTTAGAAATAACATTCACGTAATAATTTCCCCCCAATGATTATGTGTTATTCAAGCCCGGTAAACATGACCTTGTAGAATAATGGGGTGATATTATTACACAAATATGTTTTGATATACAGTATGGATATCTATACAACTAAGGTTAAATGGATCGTTTCGGGAGCATGATTTCGTATATGGCCAATAACAAAGCATTTAGAGTTATGATTAATAGTGTTTCTAATAACAGGTTTTACGCGTGTATATTTTAATACCTGTTTTTATTGACCCAAATCGGTCGCAACGCATATAATAATGTAATCTGATTGTATATAAACTGATTTACATTCAATTGTTTCCGTTTTGACTCTAATTTCAAATCAGTTATGTCCAACGAAATACGGCATTAGTCTCAACCGAATAGCAATTTCTAGCGTCTGGTTATTCCAGTCTATTGCGCATGCTCTCCAGATATGATATGTCGTCACCGTTTGACATGAGTTGTGGAACATGTCTAGCCTCGTTCTTTCTGGTCACTTGTTACAAATGACACTGAAACGATTCGTTTATTTTGTCTTAAATATTGGATATCAGAAGCCTATTTTTTCCTGGTAAGATCACAACATCAATGTTGATTTGATTTGACAAACAATTCGTATTTTCAACGTGTGAGACTTTAAATGATATTGAGTTAGAGACTGAGCTACTTTAAAAGTGTACGAAATTCAGCAATTGTCTAATTAAACTGTAGTCTAGGATGAAACAAACTTTGTGATCAGATGTAATTATTTATTTTCAGGGGGATATTCGACAATGGGCACAATGATGTTTGCACAGAACTTTGGAATTGAAAGACTCCATTTAACCTGTGGTATTGGATATACATTTGCTGGACTAGCAACATTCGTCGGATCCCCTTTAGCCGGTAAATATTGTGACAACAAAACATCCGCGGTTTATTCAATTGCTCGATGCTTGCTCACGTAATATTTTATTAGTTTCAAACTGACTGAATTCCTATATTTGTGGAGTCGTTTTAAAAACATTGCCAATTTTGAATCCAGCTGTACAAACGTATTCCTTGAACTAATACGGAAACAAACGCTCTATAGACGTATTTAATTAAATGTTACACTCGCCACACTATTGGTTCTGAAAGTAAGAATCGATTGACAAAGCATCGTTCTTAATCACCTTTTAAAGTCAGAAGCAAGTAAAACGGTCTGTCTTGGTCTTTATTTGTTCTGGTTGGTTATAATTCCTGAACAGCAAAATAAATATTATATTGCATATCGTTATCTTTCAGCTATCATTATAGATTTATCTGGAAATATAGAAACCGCATATCTGGTAAACGGCGCATTGTTCATCATTAGTGGACTAATCATAATACCTACAGGCTTTAAACTTGTGTATGCTCTAAGTAAGAAAAATGATAAATCTGCTTTCTCATTTATGAATGTGTGGACAACGGACGTTGTTTTATTTATATAAATCAGAAACATATAAAACGACTTTACACAAACCTCAACGATTTTAGCTCAACTATGCATGTTGTTTTTGCATAAGTGTTAAAGAAATGTGTGAATAAATCAAATTTATGAAGAACATTATATAACCATATGATAACTATTGTGCAATACTGTTTTAATGCTTTATTGTTGTTATATTTTTAAATATATTTATTTGTATTTTGTATTTCAATAAAGCAAACAAATGTTATATTGCCTTTCACTTTCAATACACGGAGCTTTTATACATAGTTATTGGCTTGGTTCCAGAATCTGCGCACTGCTTATGCGCATCGTTAGCATTATAGTTTATAGAAAATATTAAAAGCATGCCAAATTATCTGTACCAAACAATGAAATTCGGTGGTTATTAACGGTGCTGTTGTTTCTATAAAGAAGACCCAGTAGCTCGAATGCTTCATCATAAACCATGATAAAGGCATTTCTTTGGCCTACAGTTCATCACAACAAAGCCTATCCTTTGACTAAATTGAATCCGTCAGATTCCAAACGCTTAGGTCAATCACATGTTTTGTCGCAACATATATTATACAAGAACAGGGGAAGAGTGGTGTGTAGAGGTTACAGTTTGGTGGCAGTTTTCTAAGCTACAAAAGTAATGAAAGCAGTGTTGTAACTGTTAAGCAGATTGGTTTAGCATCCACGGAAGACCTCTACTAAAGTTGACGGCTGACATGAGCACGAGAATTAAAGAAGTTTATAAATAGATCAGTAAACTAATAGAGGAGATTCGTTTTCATTGATAGAGACGCGTTGTTAGGTAGAATTGAATCCGATAAAAGATGTAATAAAAAGCGAAGGAAATCGAAAGACGAATTAAAAGAACATCAGATTCTGATTTCCCACCAATGTGAGTCAGCTAAGAGATGTGGCGGTTCGTGGTTTTTACGTCGCAAACAAATACAACACAATTAATTTTCCATAAAACAGAGAGCCAGACAACAAAAGCTGCAGGAAATTTAGTTTTGAGAGCAATATTTAGACATAGTGGGATACTGGTATTCTGCTGATTAGTACACATTTCATACACATAAGTAGCCTGACGTAACTTTCCCTTGCCTTTTTATTGCTCATGTTTCGTGTCTGACGGTCTGGCTAGACGATGGAACTTCACCCGAAAGCGGGATTCGTTAACCCCCCCCCCCCCCAAATGCCAAGATGCATCTCCGACCTTTCTACAACTTAGAGGGCATAGCACAAATTATTATTGATATGTTCTTCAAGAGCTAGAAATAATTATCGGCCAGTAAGCGTAATTTGCACACATCGTTTGGTAAATAATTCGGGGAAAACTCAATGGAATGTTAAATAATTTAGCTCTCCCTTCAATATATAATGTAAGGTGCTAATTGGTGTGAAAAATTCTAAAAATACGCCCGACGTTTCTGAAAAATTGCACATATAAAAGTGCATTATCACTCAATGGACCGAAATTGGTAAGAGTATATATTACATACCACTGACTTATTTACTGTATGTAAGTAAGTAACACTACTCGTGTGTTACGATATGCCTGAAGATTGGGTTGAAGATTAGCGGTGTATTTAATGAAGATATGATAGATGTGAACATTAATATGTTATTATTAGCTAACTCGCTAACCAGGAGGTCTCGGGTGTGCTCACTGTGTTAGCCGAGAAAGTTCCTCGGGGTTTTCCAGTGTGGTTCCCCCTTGTCTGTGGTGGAGGACAGAGGTTCTGGTATACGGATCGAGGTCCCGTGTACACATGGGCGTGCACGTAAAATAATATTTGACAGTTGGAGTTCAAAATGTGATTAGGATGTAGCGTCGCTGTTAGGGCAAAATTTCCCAGATAGCACATTAATTATGGTTTATGCCCGTCTTCATTAGCCCAGTCGGTACAGGAAAGTGGGACGTTAAACGCCATTTCATTTCGTCTCGTTTAATTATTTATTATGCATTTAACGGAGTAGTAACGCCATTTCATTTCGTTTTGTTTAATTATTGTTTATGCATTTAACGGAGTAGTATGTCCAGTTTTGGAAGTTCGGTTTCTTGAGTCGAGTTTGGTTGTCTGGATTCACCAGACTTAAGAAGTCTGGTAGTAGTAATACTGTATGGTATGATAAGTTTATGTTCTGGTAACGGAAGTAAATAAAGTTAATATTTACAATAATACTTGTCTTTTTAAAGCTGATGGTGTTAAAATAGTGAAGCATAAGTTCAGTCTGATTAGCATAAGTTTATTCTCAATTTATAGGTCAAATGAAATGGCTGCAATTTAGTAAGCTAATTTCAAGGCTATGATCACTATTGTCATTGCTAAACAAAAATGGTACCGAACTAACCCGGCACCAAGTCAAACCACCGCAACATTGTTACTTTCTTTCTGTCTCAAATTTGAATTCTTTTTTGTCTTTTGTCTACATTTCACTCATCAACAACTTTTTAAACTGAGGTTAAGTCGATAAGTGATCATATGACGTAAATAAAGACTCGCCTTGATCACAAATATCTCGACATTCGATAAACATTTAAAATTTGCAATGTTGATGTTGATAGTAAGTTGTTTCATTACAGTTGACATTTTTACTTTTTTTCAGATCAATACTACTCTAAACAGAGTACAATTTAAAGAATTACTAAAGTGATATATTTTCTTTAGGAAATTTTTACGTGAATCGAAACCTTGGTTGATGGTCTGTCTTTGAACAACTTCACCACCTTCGTCTGTAGTTAAAATCATGGTAACCAACTACTTGGGTTAAAACAATATCACGTTTTATCTTCCCTGGAAACAAAATGTTCATTATTTATTATTGATTTCACGCCTCCATATGTATTGTAACTTAAGTATAGTCCCTTTCTGTCCATGAATCGCTTTGAATTTAGTCGTCTAAATTACAATATAAAGAAGTTTTTGGAAGTCCCCAGTTTCTGACAAGATGACGTAAAATCATAGAAACTAATGTAAACTTCAAAAGGACACAACTTGCATTAGATTTTAACGATTAGAATAATTGTCCGACTAGATACTTATCTGGTAATACCTTTAAATTATGCATGGTTCTAAACTATGTCAACGTATATTGTTCCTTTAAAAGTCTACCTTGTCTAATATAGTACAACGACCGATAATTTATTCACATTACGGCGGTTTAAACTCGATTCAAGTCGACATTTGTTACGGAACACGTTTGTTTTATTTTAAAGTTGAAGCGTGCCAATACACCATGTATAACAAGTTTAGGATATAGATTGTAATTAGTTTTAAGATCACGTAGGAATATTTCCATCTTAAAAGACAATATTTATGTAATAGTCTAGATAAAAGCGGAACTGGGTTGGACTTTTATATCTTTGAACATGCCACCCAAGCCATTCATGTAACGTTGTTTTTGTTTTTTGACACCAATACGTTGAAGGTCTGTAGTCATATCATATCCAGTACAACGCAGAGTTAACATATTACATGAAAGTAGTCTCGCCTTGCTTCGTAGTGGCAGTTCTTGGATATGTTTTTCCCTGGTAAAACTTCTATAATGGAATCAACGATCAGAAATAAACGACATACTGATTATTTAGGAGTGGGGTGTTGTGGGGTTAACGCCCTATAGTTCTGCTCCACTCGCTCTAATGAAGGCAGAAATGCAATGTGCTACGGCTTAGTATGTTTTTTCGAATACCAACTGTCAAGAGTGTTTTTACGATGTCTATGTTTTCGTCTCACCAGAACAATCAGAGACCTTCCTTGTCAGGTTCGTTTCAGAAAATTCCGAGGTACTTTAATGGTCAACACCGGGATCGAACCACGGACCTCTAGGTTTGCAACCCTGGTACTCCAGGTTAGCGAACCAGAGGCTTACTCAGTGAGCCACCAATGTCCGAAATTGCCACACGGGCTAGAAGTAGGAATAGGTAACTCTGACCCTAGTCCTAACCCATTATACCCAACAAATGAATTTTCTATATTTTGCTATTACCTACCCAACCGGTCTGAAAATAGACATATTCTTCTGTACAGTCTTCTTTAGCAGTGAAATTTTTAGATTTATCCCCATTCCACAGGCAAGGTTTCGCCATAAAAACTCGATAAAATATTTTTAAAAACCCGCTTCTAACACGACTGAGAAATGAAGACGTTATCAGACAAAACCCTGGGACATTGCTATCACGTTTTATCCTTTTAAGATATATTCTTTAAATAAGCCCAGACTGACACTTATAAAGAAACGTAATAGGATCTGAATAATTTCATTAAAGTATTACAAGCGTAAAGCATAATCTCGTCACGTTAACTTAATGGTATTAATGGACGCTTTTGGACTTTTCGACCTGATAAAGAAAAAAATATCAAAGGGGGATAATCGAAAAAGATAAATTTATGGTGAATGTTTTTTTCGGAAACCTGTGATTTGGACACAGATCATCAAATATTCCTACGCCGTCACCCACGAAACAAGGGCCAAAGATATTTTTTATTCTTCCTCTCCCTTTTCCTTTTCCCCCTTTTGCATGGCGATTTTTGTTGACTTTTTGGTGTAGAATTGAGGAAAAGGGTTTGAAAATACATTTTCTGCCAGGTTTTGGTGAATATTCATAATTTTGATGCGGAAGGATACAAGAGTTGAGAGGTTGGTTACGTTGAAATGTAGGGCCTGAAATTGTTTTTCATGAAGAACCTCATACGTGCTTTTGGGCAAGTGGTTGCCACATGTTGCTCCATCTGTGGTAGAAAGCGTTCTACCCAACGAAAATTTGGGAAAAAGTTAGAGCCGGTCTAAGATACGAGAATTAACATTGGAGTCAATGGGGAAATCTTTAGTGATCTGTGTCCATTTAAGAATGATAAACCTATACATGTTCGTAACAAAATTTCTCTCGGTTCTAGACTGTAACATTTAGACATTTCAAATTTATTAAATCATTAATTTGCCATTTACTTTTGAACGTACTGTGGGACGATTTTGATGAATAATATGGTTTTAAGCTTGATGATGGTCATCATATGTTTGTTAGAAAGCCTGCACCTCAATCATTTGTTGTCACGCAAACATCTATTTGATAAGAACAACTCGACCACCTAATAGTGTCATTGCTCGTTTTGGATAACTGGTTATGGGAAATAACTCCATTCTTTCGGTAAAGGTACTAGGATGAAGACTACTAATTATTTCCCGTTTAACTTATTGATAAACAATATCAGTACCTATCATTTTATGGAGAACATTTGGCTTAGTCCATGGTCTAATCTTTAGAGTGTGTACATACTCATTCTAGAACATCCGCCAGTACTCCTCATTTGAGGAGTTAATATCGTTAACACATTGTTTTGTACTTATGCTTATATGGTGTATAGTGATATTTAAATTATTGTCAAGTATGTTCTGGTTAATTATCTTTCCCTTGAATCCGGTATCAACGTAGAAATGCTTTCTCTGGGAACAATTACATACACGTAGCTACGGCCTGATATATTAGAAATGAATTGAAATTGGGTTGAACGTCCTACTGTTCTGCTCCGACTGAGCTAATGAAGACGCATTGATTTTGGTCTCGAGATACTAACCCACAATTTTTCTGCTACTGTTGTTCGGACCCGAATTACGAAGTGAATACACCAGAAGATACATGTATGTCAACTATCAAGCGAACAATGAAAATAAGCTATATAATCATTTGCTATCCATAGCTAAATTTGGCGTTGGTTAATAAACTGATCATAAATATTGCCCCGATACTATAATCCCGGGTTTGAAATATACCGAAATGTTTTCTGGGTATACACGAGATTCAAATCTAAACCACATTCTCCTTATATATGCAAATATACCAAGTGATAATACAATATAAATGTTAATAAATACATTTTAATAAATGAATTTTAATAAATACATTTTAATAAATACATTTTAATAAATAAATTTTAATAGATAAATTTTAATAGATAAAATTTTAATAAAAAATATAAAATCAAATAATTGTAAATAATAAACAAATTGCAATATCTTTAATAATATCCTTATGCCATGTTGACCGGTCAATTGGTGTCATCAAATCCCTAAAAGTCAATACTGGTATTTCATCCCACCCATTATAAGACCATGTAGTCCATATCTACAAGTCTATGTACAAATATATACATTATTAACATTCTTTGGTAACTACGTCGGACTGGATGATTGCGTGGTCTTACGTGTACGCTTCACATCTTAGGGTCTGTCATTGAGCGCGTGGCGTGGTTTCGATCTCATACTTGAATGGTGTTTCATATTGTCATATGTATCTATTGTCACCAGGTGTCACTATTGTAACTGATCGTTGTTTCACGGGGTTGAAAAGACATTACATAATTATTCAGTCTTTGTTTGATTTGACAAAAGTGCTGGTTCAGTATTCTGAATCTTGGTTTGAAAATTACTGAAATGTAATTGTTCTATTCTAAAGACATTCCAGTAAAAGCCAGGTATGCGCAAACCATTCTTTTCAAAATGTTAACGGAGTTTGGGTTTCTACAATATCGTGCACTGGTTACTGGGTGTGTTGTTTCGTATCACAGATGTTAATGCATTATTTAAAAGACGGCGAACGTTCTTCTCCACATCCGGCGAACACTCAACGTAACACGAAGCACCTAATGCTTGTGCCATTTCTTCACCATCCTGCTGACTTATCACCTTTTGTCCACTTTCACTGAGATCGTTTAAAACCACGTCTGCCTGACGTAAATCCGCCATTGTCCCCACTAAAATGAACGGTATGGAAGGCGCCATCTTTTTTATGTGTGGTAACCAATGCTGTCTGACGTGGGTCAACGATTCCGGTTGTACCACCGAAAAGCATACAAGAAAAATATCAGTGTCCACGAGGCTTTTATGACGTAATTCCGAACAGCATTCCTGGAAATATAAAGAATTTTATAAGCATTGAACTTCAGAAGGTTTTATTTCTGTTTCATTTTCTTAAATGTGTATAATTAGAATGTTTGGCTACATACTTTATAAAGAGTTTATAAAACATGAAAACAACAGTGACAATCAAAAACGTACAACTGAACATGGATGATTGAGGAATATCGTCTCACAAACCCTTTAATTTTGTCATAGGATCAACATAATGAAAGGGTACAATGAGGTATAAAACATCGAAAATCTGTCATCCATAGGAAGAGGGGGGGGGGGTGGATGGCCGAATGGTTAGCACGTGCGCGCTGTATCATAAAGCCTGTCATTGAGTCAACTGGCGTGGTTTCGAATCCCCGGTTGTACGTGACAAGGAGTAGGGTCGCCTGTCCAACCTCGTGGGTTTTCTCCGGGTCCTCCGGTTTCCTCCCACTGCTAAAGACCCCTACGCACAAGCGAATTATTGAAATAAAATTAAACCATATGTTAGTCCCGAAATGACCTAGTTTGTGTCGAGTGGACGTTAAACCCCATTTCTCTCTCTTTCCATGGGAAGAAAAATGAGATTTAACGTTCAGTCAACATTAAAATGGTAATATCGTATGTTTGTGTTACAGAAAACGCGAGTGCATGGGCGAAACCATGACAGATATGGACAACAGCTTTGATTATATATAGTACTCGAGTTTGACTCTATCATCCAGACTAAACGATTTAATATTAAATGGGCGCAGATGATGTCAAGAACTTGATCGACATTCATTCAACATAGATATCAAACACATCACCTATACGTACCTGCTGCAAAGTATCCATAATATTCAAATTTATTTTTCGTCCACCTATTTTCAAACTTCCTGAAAATAATCAAAGTAAATTAATAAACAATATTTGATGTTTGACAGAAAAATATGTGTACACGCCGTCATCGTCACATAAGGTGGTTGAATGACTTTGTAGCTTATCATTTTATATATCTGTAACATTTTTTAAATATCTGTAAAACTTTTTTGTTTGGACATTTTAGAGTGTATAATAGGGTTATTTATTGATGGTCTGTGTTAGGTTAGGTTAAGTCAATAAAACGTGTTTTCACTTGTATGTAGTCTATCATTCAAGTACATTAAACTATATGCCAAATTGTACATAATGGAAATTGAAATACACGAGTAAAAGTAAACGCCCATGGTGGTATGTACTGCTCGATGCGCAGGCCGAAATGTGTTTAAGATCAACTAAAGGAACTGTCTAATAATCATTTTATTCTCCGGATATTTTTAATGAAACCGTTAAATTAGACTTAAGGCAACAGGAAGTGCTAATATCAATGAACATTCATTTATTTTATGTGATTAGATCTGAATTCAACAAATTGTCTTGGCTTAAGAAACTTCCAAAAGATGAGAAATCGCTAGATTTGTTCATATCTAAGTTCTTTTCACGTAATACAATATCTTGTTGAATCATTAATGTGGTTACTCACTCAAGCATGGTGGGTAAGGGCACCATCGTGAGGGGTAAAGGCACCATCATGGCGGGTAAGAGCAGCACCATGGAACACTCACCTGCATAGTTATCGAAGGCTGGAGGTACATGTTTAGTTGGATATCTGTTTGTAGCATAGCCCAATAACATACTGGTTTTCCCAACCCAATCATCACCAACCACAACACATTTAATTTTATCATCATATACCATTTTATACACGTTGTAAAATGATGGAAACTATAGGCTTGATGTACACAAACCTGAAAGCGTAATGTCTATTATTGTAGAACACATATATATATATATATATATATATTAGATATTGTCTGGTAATGATGGCACACTTCTAAATCCCTTTATACTTTCAAACATCATGTTATATAATACATCAGTTTATGATTTAAAGTTTAATGCAGAAAAAATCCCGGGAACATGTCTTTAACAAGTCTACTGAGTCTTATTTTGACAGCTATATTCAATGATTCATTTAATAACTTTTATTTTTAACAACTGTAAGAGAACGTCATGTTTATTTATAATATTTTGATAAAATTCGATAATTGCATAATGTATGGCTTAAAATCAAATATCTAAAAGTAGTCATTACGCTTAGATAGTTGTTATATTTTAATTTAATGATAAACGTCTCAATTACATCGTATGATTATATTTGCGAAATTATCATCTTACTACATTAAATAAATGATGTCCGCAGATGAATCACTGATCTGGATCGATTGGTTTAGACACGGACTTCCGCTTACTGATCACTAATGAAAAAATTAAGTATGTTGGTTTCACTTTTACCTACCATTAATCCAAATATCAAACCAGATCAAATATTACATTATGACAACTATCGAACACTATTTTAAGTACTATGGTAGAACCGTTGAGAATGTGTTAATCACTGTACCCTAAAAGGTATCATACAGGTAAAAACAAAATTTCTTCAGATCCTAAGATCTCTAATTTCACTTTAAAATTCTTTAGTGGCATGAGCTAAGCAATCATAATTAGAACCAAATGATGTAAGTTATGGGGATACCAGTAAAGACATAGTGTAATTCATATTATATTTCTTAACATTTTCGTTAATAAAACAAATTGATTAGAACTAAATGATGTAAGTTATTGGGATATTAGTAAGGGTTCCGTTAAAGACACAGTGTAATTCTTAATTCGTTAATAATACAAATTGATTATAGTCCTTATTATTTGCATCGAACGTTAACAGTAATGTTATATAAGCATACATTATTTTATACTTACGTAAATTAAATGTCCTTATTCGATCCTTTCATAAAGTAATTCTCTTACCAAACTGTCGTGAAATCATTTATCATGTTTAACAATAGCTAAATATAGTGATTATTTAAAGTTATCAGCTTAGATATAGTGTTGTCGAGTGGGTGTTTCGGCTGATATAAGTCTGTCGTCTGCTACAGTGCGCGTGTTGATACTCACGTGTGGGCAGATATTTCGGGAACGGCTCCGTCATTCATTGATATAGAAGCTGTGAATCACACTATAAGCCAGTCGTTTAATACGAAACGGGTATGTATATAGTAATTGGTATACCTGACGACATCAGCGTATATATTTTCATCACACATACTACAACAACATCCATGGGGATATGTCGGTGCAATGTGACATCATACCTATATTTCCGTTTCAAAAATACCGGTTACTCACTATTTTTTATACAAATAATATGGGAAATTTGATTGAGGTAGGTGGCTAAGTGATGATAAGTATTGCTCCATAGTTTTATTGGGTTCACCAAGGTTCGTCACTAAACCCAGATTCTTTGACTTCGTATTACGATGACTCGAAATGAGTTAAACATTTTCACTTGCTACAAATTTAATTGCATAGCGTTCGTACAAAACGTTTCATAAGTTTTTATATTAAACAATTCGTAATTTATAATTCAACAATTTATCTGAGGTTCATGGTTGAACTATTAGGATTTCGGTATTACTTACTTATCTTAACCGCCAAATATATCCTGGTGAAGACTACCGCAGACCCCAATCAAACTTCGCGTGGTTAACAAATAAAAACTAAACGTTCTCACTCAATCCTTAAATCCAGTGATTCTTAATTTGATTATTTTATTCTGAAATCCAGACTTAACCTTAAATTTAGATAGTTCATTGGAAATTATAAAGTTTTAACTTTATAATAAACTATATTTAAAAATACACGACTATGTACCCCAACCTAAATTAATTAAGTTTTAATAACCCAAAGCCCCCTACCTAAATATGTCACCGTAGTTTAAAATTACCAGATCAACGATTACGGGAAAATAATTGTGCGAGTTCAAGGAGTTTTATAATAAAAGCTTGTTTGATTATGGTTATTTGCTATTTATAGGAGACATACGGGTATTATGAAATAACCTATAAGACCCCGTTAAACAGTTTTTTATAAGCATTAAATTCACCTATATTCTCCATGATGACAAGTTGTTGATACGTATTTTCTCTCGAATAAAATACTTGTTAAACCTTTTATATTAACATGAAAACTGGATTTATATGTATAATACTTCCTCTTAGCAGCATAATGAATATAATATTTGAACGCTTGGAAGCCGAGTATGAACAAAAAGTAAAATCATAATATAAGGGAAGTAACTCAGTTGTGCATGTCAGACGTTAATGGACACAGCTCACCAAATATTTCTACGCCGTCCCAAATTTGTGAATATTGTGTATTCTGTGACCCTTTTGTAAGAGGGGAGTGATCATAGACTAAATATTGCATTTTTTCATTCATCAAGACCTATTTTTAACCATAATTCATATTTAATTTATATATTTTAGTTTATATGTACATATGTTAGTCGGGAGCCACGGTGGCTAGTTGGTTAAAACGCTGGCTCGCTAGCCTGGAGGTCGGGTGTTCGATCCCTGCATAGGCCGAGAAAGTTCATAAGAATTTTCCGACGTGGTTTCCCCTTGTCAGTGGTGCAGAACGGAGGGCCTGACAAGGACAGCTGTCTAGTCCTTCGGATGATACGAAAAACCGAGGTCCCGTGTATAATTGGAATGCACGTAAAAGATCCTCTGGCAATTGGAATTCGATATAAGACTAGGCGATAGTGCCGCTGTCCGGGCAAAATTTCCCTCATAGTACTCTGTATGGCGTATGCCCGTCTTCATTAGCCCAGTATAGGAGCAGAACAGTAGGACGTTACACCTCATTTCATTTCATTTCATTTCATTTACATATGTTAGTCAGGGGTGGTAAAACATATCTATGGAAGACCAAACAGCCCTTTATTCAGTGTTCTTAGTCTTTATTTCTTAATTCATAGTTCTTAATTCTTATTTCTTCATTTGTTGTCGTATTTCGACATTTGTATACTAAAATTAACATTTGTATCTTAAAATCAATATTTGTTTTACAAATCAGACATTTTTCATATCAAATTTGTAAAATTGTATGAGAAATACAACGAAAAACAAATCTGGAACAACAAATTTCTAAATACAAATCTCCAAATACAAATCTTGCAAAGCATTTCTCCAAAAACATTTCTTCAATAACATTTATCCAAAAACATTTCTCGAAATCCATCGAACCGGAATATTATGAAGACGTAAGCGGAAATCAACGTTGCATACAATAAGTCACCATATAATAATGGAGAATCGAGCAAGCATATATACAATCAGAAAAATCGCTCGATGATCGCGACTCTAGTGAAACCACGTGGGTAGTATGGCTAATCGGACAGGGCTTTCGAGAAGTAAAATAAATTGAAAGTAGTCTATTATCAGAACTGAGGTTTTGTCTGATAGCGTCATATTTTTTTGCTCCAACCAAAGGGTGTTTTATCTCTTCTAAATCATGTAATCATGAATGTAAAGAGGGATGAAGAAATAAATACTTTCCACTCATGCAATACACTATAACCTGTATTTTAACTTTTAAATACCCCCACCCCCACTAACTTAATAGTATTTAGCGTCACTTAACTGCCCCCCCCCCCCCACACCCCACACACCACTAACTTAAAGATACATTATTGGAGATAAGATAACGAGATGGCAGTTCTCGCTATAATAGTTAAAAACTAGATAGTGTAAAGCTAATTTGCTGAAAATTTCAGTCAAATTGATCCCCTATGAGCCGAGAAAGAAGCGGGTGAAATTTTGGCATAGTCTCGGTCATCATTACTAAAATCATTATTATAAACAACTTATTCTCGATTATCCACTTTTATTGATTTAATTATCAACGTCCGTTAGCGGCATTTAGGAATCTAATCTAGCCAACATCGAAGGCTAGCCTTGACATCGAGAGTTTATTATGGTCTGGATAAGTTAATTAATGTCTAATTGATAATTTAGATAACATTTCAGGCCTAAAGAAAGACTTGTAATAAGCAGATTTTGCTCTTGCATAATGCATGTTTAAGTTATATTTATAGCACGGCTTTCATGAGTTAACAGGTTTAACCAGAGGCCGACGGGGTGAAGCGTGCTATAAATGACTTGTAACATTGACAACTGCTCAACATGCATATTATTGTTATTGCACGGAAAACCCACCCCACTTCTCTATATGATTTCTACTAAAACTAGTGTAAACAATCTGCTTATTCAACGAAAAGAACAAAGGAAGATTTCCAGTCCATATTACAATAGTATTTAGCTTCACCCAACTGTAATACCTTTTTCAATCTATGTAAATTTAAATGTGCCAGAATATAATGTGCCCCTCCCAATCAATTAATAGAGTTTAATAGCGTACAACTTTTCAAGTTATTTTCTGGCACATTTATATTTCCATACCTTGAAAAAAGATCAAAGTTCCACGGTACTAAACTTTATTAAGTGGGGGGAGGGGAGGGATATTTAAAGTCAAAAAACGATCTTAATAAGACATTTTCGATATCTTTTCATATACTGCTGGAAAGTATGTTTATTGTTTGCTACAAAATGTAAATTATTTTCTTGCACATTTGTATGTAGACTTGCTCAACCTATTGTTCACTGGAAGATCGTAATCCGCTGGAACTCAATTCGGAACTGTATTGCTAAGGGAATATTACAACCATACAACTTGCTCATCAGATGCGGATGCAAGAGTGACACTCCACGTAGTACGGTTGCTTGTAGCTGCACTAGGGGGTGGTTTAGAATTTACAGTATTTTGCCCCTGTGTTGGCGCAGGTTGCAGCCACAATGCACGACTAAAGGATTAAACTGAATATTATCTAGTTTTGTGGCGGTTATTTTCGTGTTTGCGGGTAGAAATTGTTTTTTAAATATTTTGAATATTCAAAAAATAGCTCGTTCCCCTCTCCTCGCCCCTTTTAGGTGCGGTCCATGTGGCCCCGAAGGCCCCGATAGGCATGTATATGGAGTTATCGTATCACTCATATGATCCTATGTTCGAAATACATAGTTTGTCTCTAGATATAGTTGGGTTTGGTGAAATAATCGTCCATAACTGCCGCTAACGAGTTATAGGACCGTACTGTCTAGCATTTTGGATTTTACTATCATCCCACAACATAATGAACGATTTTAGTGTATTCCGTGGCTCCATAATCATACGATAAGACACCAAAATTATCATCCTAGACTGAATACCAAGGAAGTTATAGGGGATTATGTGAAATAGCGGTCTTCTTGGACGCCATCTTGAATTTCTAAAAATGCTCAAGGGTGACCGAGGTTCACCCGCCTGATTCTTAAAGAGGACACCTTAGACTACTATAATCAATCATGAAAAAACTTTGTATACAATTTAAAGGTTCACTCGAAATATTGGATTTGGCGACCGGACTTAAAATAGACCATTGTTCCGAAAATTTATTTTACATTATAAGTAATCTTTTTTTTCATACAAAACAACGAATTATGGGATTACAATACATGTGTATATGATATGTACATTTCGATACGATCACATATCATATTTCCCTCGTATATCCCTAGCTTAGCTCAAAAACAAATCACATCAATTGGCCATAACTAAAACTTGGAAAGAATTCTCGGACGTATCCAAACCCGTAAAACACAAGACAGGAGATTAATTCATACACTGTCACTATTTTATCAAAAAGTTGGAAATGTCCTAATTTGGTGAAGTATTCCAGCCCTGAATTCAGAAGACACAAGCATAACGTACATGTAACGTTATCTATATCTGTTAGTCACCGCGAAGTTAAGTATTCTAATGAGGATTTGTCACATGGCCTCATCTTGCACATCAGCATGATAAATATAAGAGACAATAGACACATCAACATGATAAACATTTGATCCCTAATTTTACACAGACAAATAAGTATCACAGCACCCGAATGTTTATGCACCCTAGGTAAATGTATTACGAAAATAAATATATGCGAAAGTGAAAATACACTTTTGACGTATTATGTCCTTCATTTGTACAGGTGAAAGCTGCCAGTGCAGCCCGTAACAGATCTACTGTGCAATAAAAGTATGGACCACTTGCGTCATTGAAAGCATGTTTGGGATATCAGCCATTGTACTGACGAAAGTTCCATAGGACCGCTGTCTGTATTTCACAATTGGCCCTCAACAACTAAATACAGCGAAAATAAATTGTTGGCATGAGGAATGCCTGGAATGCTACAATTCGTCGATTATTGTGAAAACATCAATAGAATAATGACGAAAAGGACCGGATTTGTTCTGGTAGACCTCGCAGTACATCTGCAAGAGAGAACGCAGCTCCGTTGAGACTTGTGCGACGACATCCTGATGCGCATCCTTTTGTACTATGTTGAAAAGGGAATTATTATCCCAACGCCCTTATCCTACAGAACCGTTTCTTCATCATCTCAAATCGGCTGGATATGGCGCTCAAAGACCATAAGGTCATCATAAGGCTAAACGACTAGCATGGTGCAGAGCATTCCACCATTGGAACATGGCGTCATGGCGAAATATTTACTGGTCGGATGAGAGTCGCGTTAGTTCATGGCGGATGCTAGAGCACGTGTATGAAATACGTACAGAGGAACATCCTGGAGCAGGTTCCATTCGGCGTGGGCTCTATCATGAGATGTGATTGCCTTTCATTTGTATGTACTCGTCCACTGGTTACAGATAGAGGTAATCTCAATCGCCAACGAGAAAAAGAGATCGTGGACAGGGTTGTAGAGTCACACTTCTCACAATGTGCGCGTGTCGTAGTTACTTTTCTGCGTTAGGGGGCAGTTTGTTCACTGCCTTGCCTAGCTAGAAGCTTTAATCTGAATTCACATGAGCACATTAAGACATCTTTGGGCGTAAAAATTGGACCAGACATTCACCAGGAATGGACCCGGCTAACGCAGGCTCCGGTTCTGAGTTCACAAAGCATTTCCAGGCTTAAGTTAAGAATTTACTTATTTAACTAAATATAGCCCTTTATAAAACTGTTGTTGTTTTAATGTATCAAATATTATGTGTAAGGTTTTGTGTTTTTGGATCAAAGATATTTCTCAAAGATATTTCAAGTCTGAGAATGCACTGTTAACTCGTTACGTAAAATAGCTAATATCATCTGATCAAACATTAGCGCTTTATTCAAATAGGGTGTTGCGATACTTTTTTCTTTGTGTATATAGATATACAAATATAAATCATAATTGGCTGATTTATGGATGGTTGAAAAACTGTTTGAAATACTTCAATCTGATAAAAACACAGATCCAAATATAGATCTGGGTCCGTATTCAAAGGAAATCTAGATTTCATTAAATATACGTAACCTCGTGTAAGTTGAGGGTAAATGGTGTTCAAAGGCAATGTTAAGTATCAACTTTTCCTTTAAAGTTAAGTTGCCTTAACTTTAAGTATGGTATTCAAAGGTGAAATTTATCCACTTAACTTTAAGTAACCTATGGGAGGTACCTGTAAAGTTCTGTGGGATTATAATGACTTTTTTAACCGGAGTACACAATGATGCAGCAGGCCCTTAAGGACGATATTAAAAACATGAGGATTGAGATTGAAACAAAGAAATATTGACTCAGTTTTTTTGTGTTTTTTATCACCATCAGCTTTAATGTTGTAGTGCCGTAATAATAATAGTGTATAAGGTTACTACCACCGAGATGGTCACGGTTATATTTTTATACGCCCACATTTTAATGTGGACGTACATTGTCGTCGCCCCTGTTTGTCCGTGCGTCCGTCCGTCCGTGGACACTCTACAGGTCACAATTTTTATCCGATTTTAACGAAACTTGAAATATAGCTTTATCTCCCTACGATCTCGGTTCCTTTCGATATTGGCATGCATCGGACAGTAAGATCATGGATTATGGTCCCTGATTGTACGAAAAATCGCATTTTTAGCTTGTGGACACTCTAGAGGTCACAATTTTTATCCGATTTTGATGAAACTTGAAATGTAAGTTTATAACCCATATCGGACTGTAACTTCCTGAATTATGGCCCCTGATTGTACGAAAAATCGCGTTTTTAGCTTGTGCACCCTATAGAGGTCATAATTATTATACGATTTAAAACAAAATGTTCAAATATATCACTGTTACACCGTAATTTTGGTTGACTTCGAATTTCGTGAAAATCGGACCAAAACTGCCGGACAAAATGGCCACCCCTCGTACGCAATTAGCGTTAAAATATGGTATATCAATGTTTTGGACCCTCTAGAGGTCACAAGTTTCTTCTGATTTTGATGAAACTTGAAATGTAAGTTTATAACCCAAAGATCTTGGTTCTTTTTAATATCTGCGCATATCGGTTCGTAACTTCCTGAATTATGGCCCTTGATTGAACAAAAAAATCACGTTTTTAGCTTGTGGTCCCTGTAGAGGTCACAATTTTTGTCTGATTTAATAACAAAATGTGTGAATATATCACCATTACACACTACGATCTTGGATCCATTTGATAATCACGGATACCCGAACTTAACTTCCTGGATTATGACCCCTGTTTGTTCGAAAAATGGCATTTTTAGCTTGCGGATTCTCTAGAGGTCACAATTATTGTTTTTCCGATTTTAAAAACCGTTTAAATATTTCACCATTCCACCTTAATGAAGGTTGAATTCGAATTTCGGGAAAATCGAAATGAAACTGCCCAACAAAATGGCCGCTCTTTGTACGCAAATTGTGTAAAAGTATGCAATACGAAGGTTGTGGCCCCTCTAGAGGTCACAATTTTTATCCGATTTTGATAAAACTTAAAACATATCTTTATATCCCAAAGATCTCAGTCCCTGTTGATATTTGCGCATTTCAGACCATAACTTTCTGGATTATTGCCCCTGATTGTACAAAAAATCCCGTTTGTTTTTGGCTTCTTCTCTATCCATGTCTTGCAAAATGTAGGCGTATCCTGCCTGGCAGCCGCTGGTTTTCCGATCATTTTCGTATTGCTTAATCATGTTTCAACAGCTGTCAAATAATAAAGTTTCATACGTTAAATTCGTTGAAAACAAATGACTTTATGATGGCATTTCATTGTAGATTTCAGCAAAATTATACTACCGGGAGAAGCAAGGTAAGATTTGGCTTTTAAAAATCATTCCCATATACATATTTGATGTTAGCTGCAGCTTAGCAGTAGTATTGTTTGTCTTCTTATGTGTATAAACTTATACAAATATATGATAGTGACTACTGACTGAAGCGTGACACATGTTTAACAATTGATATATTTTCTTACTTATGGCTTTTTAAATATTTAAAAAAAAAACTACCAGTACAACAGTTCCTGCAAATGATGCGTACTATCATTTATAGTCATAATGTTTTAATGTGTTACAATATAATATTTCGACAACCATTTCATATCAGTGAAAACTAAGATTTTAATAGATTAGTGGTTGGGGACTTAATAACTTGCCTTCGAAGTTAGAAAATCATGATTTTTGGCAGTGGAGGGTTAAGTTAAGTGTACAGTTAAGTTTTTTAGATTGCCAAGAATATGTAAAATACAGCCTTTGAAAACCGATTTATTTATTTTCACTTAACTTTAAGAAAACCTTTGAATACGGACCCTTATTTTTAATTAGATTGGGTATACACTAAGGTGAACTTTCAATTTATAAAGCAATAACCCGGTAACGATTATTTAGTCTGGCAATTATTAATCCCGCGTTCCCATCGTTCCCATGCATACTGTTCGAGAAGGCCATTAAATCGTCAACCCGCGATCATAATAAGGATGAAGAACATAACAATAACATTAAAACAGCGATGATGGTATAACGAACACGGTTAAATTCCAATAGTTATTTCTGTGAGCACTGTTTTCGGTTGATAGAGTTTAAAGTGACCATGATGTAGCCTCCATGATTTTCGAATGGCAAGTTACAATAAAATCAACAGAACAAAACATTCTATTCGGGTTAAACTAACACAAAGGGCACAATAAATCTCGTTTTCCTTATATGTTTTTAAATATTAAATATCAACAGTACGGAATTATAACCAACACTTTATAACATTAAGAAGGTAACAAAAACGTATAGGCTAGGGTATAACGCTAAATTATTAGGTTATGAAATTGAGTAAAATTAATAAAACATTCGCAGATCCAGTATACTACAATTCTTCATAAAATAAACATAATTAACTGATAAATAGAATTAGTAATAACACCACTATATATCTGTGGAAGTAGGTGTTTAAATGTTGCTTACTGGCTGTACTTTGGCCTGGAATATAAAAAAAACAGGTAATTTATTCTGTTCCATCATATACCTAATTGGTTATTTGGCTGTATTTCTGCCTAGAATATAAATGACCCAGGTAATTATTTAGTTCATAAATCTAATCTCAATTTCTTTAATGACATTTCCCTAGGTTTTCAGAAACGTCTTGCAAAAATGGCAAAGAGAAATTCCTATTTCTTTATGTAAAAATACAAGGTACCAAGACAAACCGAGTACGAAGCATATGGTTAAAGTTACAATTTCATATTTTCTAAGAAAGTCAAAACATAATTATTTCTATGTCTTTTGCTCAATAGGTTGTCAACTCACTATTATACGATCATAGGTGTCATTGTCACACTTAAAACTCATTTACACCGGAAATAATAACACAATTACCTCCCTTGTTTTCTATTCTCCACCATGGAATAGTTATCTTCAAACGTTGGAATTTGAAGATGAAAATGATATTTTTGCCAATTTCTCAACTGGCAATAGTGAATTATAGGATTAATAGGATTATTCTTTAACAAGGTAAGACTGTTTATAGATACCATCTATTCTAAGGCTTTATTTTAATTAATTTTAAAAATATAACTTAAAAATATGAAATTGCAACTTTAATATTATATGAAAACAATATCAAAGGTCTCTAAATCTTTGATACAAATTTTAAAAAACCCAACAATTCCATTTCATCATTCCCAAATTTTTCACATGTACTTTTACAATTTTATCCTTCAAGATGGCCATTAACCATAAACTTATATTATGTATTGCCTAAATATGGAAAGAATATAACAATCGAGTTCATTTTATTTTCTTGACAATTATATATTATGTACTTACAATGCGATATGTAAGAATCTCTATTGAAATCGATTTCTTCTTTTAACTGGTCACTTCGGCTGGATATAACGATGTTGTCTTGGCATTCGTCTATGAGATTTGTATAGCAGGCTATAGCCCGACCCATGGCGCTAAACAATATTATGAAAAACAAATTTAGTATGCGTAAAAGATTGAGTAATTGAGTTTCATTACATAACCATATAAGGATGTTGTTTTGGCATTCGTCTATGAGATTTGTATAGCAGACTTTAGCTCGACCCATGGCGTTAAACCATATTATGAAAAAGAAATTAGTATGCATAAATGATTGAGTAATTGAGATGCATTACATGACAATTATGTTACCGTCTTCATTAGCCCGACCGGTGCTGAAAGGTAGAATGTTAAAACCCTTTTCATTTGATTTCATAATTGTAGTGTCTGTTTCGAAAGATAAAGCTATATGGTTCAATAAACCAACAAATAATAGTTCTTATGAAATGCCAAGAGAATATATGATAACGAAATAAACCCAGAAATCGTCCGATAAGGAAGCTTTGCGTGAAAGGAAACACTGGGACCCATTTTTAACATCATGGCTATTTTAGAATGATAGATCCCAATGGTAGCTGTATATACTGATTTAATTAAATGTCCGTCTTTATTAGCTCAGTCGGTGCAAAACAGTAGGACGTTAAACCCCATTGCATTTCATTTTCATTAAATGTAGCAATCCATATAAACGGGATATTGACCGTCGTCTGCAACCCAGACCAAACCGGATGTTCAAATTAGACACTCACTACATCAAGCAAATTATTCAAACACGAGGTTACAATGAAGATGCCCTACCTCGCCTGCGGAGCCGCGATACGTCTTCATTAAACTCTATTTCATTTCAATACATCACATGCATTACGTGCTGAGAAACTGAATTAAAAGAATATCTACAACCTCGGATCAACTTAACGTTTGGTGATATTTAACGGCTGCTTACACTTAGAATGATATCACATGTAAACTGAAATATGTTTCTTTTCGTCATTGATTATTTGCAGACATGACGTGATTAGCGGAATAATGTATCTTTCTATACTAATGTCCAAAAGAAAGTATACACACTAAAAATATGACTAAGATTTATTTAGATTAAAAAAACATTTGATAAAACATTACTGAGTTTGTCTCTTGCGTCAAAACTCAACATTTCTAAGCAAAATATAAAAGCGAAACAAATTGACATTGTACCCAAATGCCGCATACGACGGAAAACGACTTTGGTTGATGCAGCACGAAATGCACAGTGTATACTTTCTTTTGGACATTAGTATATATAAACCTTGATTTTGAATATTAGCAGAAGTAGACGAGGATTTTCTAATGTAGTTATATAACTGAATACTTACGGACAGTGTTCGGTTTTATCTTTTTCATCTGCATTTAAGAATTCCTCGATTATTTTAGAACAGTTTTTTAACTCCAAAACAAATATATCTAAAGGTGGACAATCACACCAAACTAACTGTAGACCTGAAACATAAAACTGAATAATCAAACTTCTTACTGCTTTTGGGCACAGGAAATATAAGTTTTCTTTTAAAACCAGTCTGATATTTCATATAAATATCAATTTGGTCAAATGCTTCCGAGACTGATCCTGTAATACCATTTAGATTTTTGGTTTTATTCTTGCGCTATCAGATCAAAACGGGTCTTTTATTGACATTTTTAAACCAGGAACTTCTTGGGGTGTTGACCTTTAATTCCCATACGATCGGCATGAAACTTGGCATGATTTTTCCTTCGACAATTTCCCATCGAAATGATGTCACAGTTAATTTCTTTTTCAAGAGCACGTGGAATATTTCTTTAATAGAACCAATAGGTTATATGGCATTAAACCAGACAAACTGATACGCAGTAAATATTAGCTTGGCCGCTAATATCACCGATAGGGGCGAATTAACTAGCTCTCGATATTTTTTTTCTTCTACAAATTTTTCAAAATTCTAAAACAATTTTTTAAATTATTAGGGAAAAGTTGAAGATGTTTGAAATATATCTAGTTATAAAATATATTCATATTTAGTGTAAATGGGTACATAAAATAGTGCACGGGGGCGTAAAATAAGCACAGAGCCCAATTCTACCTGGGCCAGTTTGTATTACTACTACCGATGTAAACAACGCACGTGTTATCGACGCCATATGATGTGACGCCACAGAACTATACTTGACGCGATCTTAAATGTCGGTCACCTTGTACAGTGGCAAAAGAAGGCTTTTCCATTACCGCTATGAAACAGTTTGTAAACCAGAAATCAAAAGAGACTGGACATATGGTTGATGGTGGGACAAAAATCTTGCCGTCTTCTACGTGCAATACAGTAATGCCATATTTTGATGGATGGTAACTGTCTGTTTATGGTGAATGTTGTTAATTATCAGAAAAATCAGACACAGGTGCCTTCAAGAAAAAGTAGCAGCTGCTTTTTCTGATCATTTCCGACGGGTGCCTATTTTTAACACTAAGAAGAAAAACCGTTGGATTTCCCTTATTGTTCAATATGAACACGGTATTCGAGTAGGCAAGTAAGATTGAAGTCGAAACCATGTCGCTTAACTGGCATTGTTAGACTCCATATGAATTGTCTTGAATAGATGTTGGTTGTGGATTATATAATGTTGAACTTGATCTGCCAGAAACAGCATTCTACATTTATAGATCAATTGTTCCAAGAACTGCGGAGGCGAGGGGTGGGTGTGTTATAATAACGTGAACTCTATCCAATGTAATTAAGCTGGATTTTGTCGGTTCTTTGACTTTGGTTGCTTTAAAAGATTATATATTCTTCTAACCACCAAAGAAAATACATTTATTGCGCAACACCAGACGTTGATTTTACAATCAAAATCACTATTGCCTAATGGGCGCAAAATCGGGTGTATTCGGACACAAATGTCTTGTCCCTTTAATATTAATTTGAATTAAGTTTAATTCTGATTAAAGAGCGTAATTCAATAGTATCCGGAGTCTTTTACATTACAAACACAAATTATTGGTCTATTCCAATCAATATTGTCATTTTACCAGAACACAGTGAATAATTGTAAAATCAGTACGCACCGTACTAAACGTCAGTGCGTAATAAGTGACATAGGGAAACGTGACACCATTAATTCCTACGCTGGTGCCAAAGTTATTTATAGTCCTTCTGGGAGACACGGTGGCTAAGAGAGTAAGTTTTAAAGATCCTAAAATGGTCGAATTGGATTATAAAATAGCCTACAATATCCAAATTACATAAAATTGGTAAAACTGATGATGATTTGTGTCCTATATGTAAGGATGAGATTGCAGATTTGCAGCATTTATTTATTGAATGTTTAGATTTGCGTTATCTTAAGTCAAGAATTAAAGAATTTATTAATGATTTATTACCATATAAGTTATGTGATCCTGATTTTAACACTTGTTTATTACTGGGGGGGGGGGAATCACGGTGGCTAAGTGGGTAAGGCGCTGGCTCGCTAGCCTGGAGGTCGGGTGTTCGATCCCTGCATTGGCCGAGAAAGTTCATCCCGATTTTCCGGCGTGGTCCCCCCTTGTCAGTGATGCAGGACGGAGGGCCTGACAAGGACAGCTGTCTAGTCATTCGGATGAAACGAAAAACCGAGGTACCGTGTACACATTGGCGTGCACGTAAAAGATCCCTTGACAGTTGGAATTCGATATAAGAGTAGGCCGTAGTGCCGCTGTCCGGGCAAAATTTCCCTCATTAGCCCAGTTCGGAACAAAACAGTAGGACGTTAAACCCCATTTCATTTCATTTCATTTATTACTGGGACTTCAGTCTAACAACAAGTCCAATCCTAATGACTTTTGTAATTTGATTGTGCTAGCTTTTCTATCTATAAACGTAGAATGAAGTCCCTAGATAATAATATAGAGTTTGATAATGTTAAATTATTCAAGAGTGTATTTAAACATACTTTAACTATAGTAAGTAAATACTGCGATAACAATTGGATAAATTTTACTCAAACTTTCAATTCACCATCTCTATGTATATGCTATGAATTGGAGGGCCCTATAACGACTGACTTGTAAATGTATAATATAAACTGTTATCTACTAATTAATGGTCCTACGCATGGGTAATAGTGGCTTTTAGAAAAGGGAGATAATCAGGATTAAATGTTATGCATAGTACTTTTTGGAACATCTAATTACACGTATCTCGGAACTATCAAGCCTTTCGCCCTTGGAGAGCAGGTTTACTCCGACCGCACATAGTCGATTAGACTTTCTTTAAATAGCTTTTTATTACTTCCCTTCTGGGAGTAATGCACTTTACAAAATTTACTTCGAGTTTCAATTTGAATTACGATAAACACCTTGTTTTAATTTCTAAATATTTAAGAATTACTTTTAATTTTCCTTATTTTTTGTACCATTCGCTGCCTGTAAAATGTTGATAATTGTAATGTATTATATTTCCTGTTGGCCCAGAAAGTTTTGTAGACTCGAAGAAAAAGGTTTGAATATACATTTTCTGCCAAGTTTTGATGAATATTCAAGATTTGGAGGCGGAAGGATAAGATATGTTACACAATTGACATGATTCAGGAACATGTCACTTAACACCTTATCAGATTATGACTCACAGATGGTCGACACTATAACTGGTCTGACACGACCAACGGCCACGTAGATGTGATTAGTTACTACCCCTGGTCTGAGTTATGATGCAGTTTAGGCACCTGCATAATCTCTTCCGCCATCTAGAAAGTGATTATAAGCAGAATCAAACTGAGATTATTGGGACTAGGCGAGGGTGTCTATAGGTTAACGTGGGACCAGGCAGGTCTCGACTTAAGAACGGACAGCGGCCATGTAAGTTAGTTGGGAGTTGGCACCCAGGGGTGTCAAGCCAAGTTATTACCATGGCTCCCTCAACACAAGCTAATTACGGACATGGGCGTAGATCCCTAAGGAATAACTGAGATTTTGTTTTTATCTGGTATACTGGATGATCAATCACCTTACTAAAGGATTTAGTTTGTATATCAGGGGAACCCTTCATTGCTAGATTTGCTGCCATACTAAATAAACGTATTTTTAAAGACTGGTTTCTATCTCTCTCTGTGGAATATAAGCAATTAAATCTAAAATTTAAGACTCGAACCCGCTATTTTTTGGAGTACAGTAAGCTGAGCCAAGAACAGGGGCGGATCCAGAAATTTTTGCAGGATAGGATTTGCCCGGTTCCTGAGAAAATGTATCCCCCCCCCCCCCACGGTTTGAAATTTTTTGAGAAATACATGGTCTCTATCGTCATTTTGGCGTATATACATACACATTGATCTCCAACAGAGAAGTCCAACAGCACATTGATCTCCAACAGAGAAATCCAACAACCTGTTTGACGTCAATTTTTATTATGAATTAATACGATGACATTGTGATTCAATTTTATTGATGCAAAGCATTAATTGTGATATCACAATTGTCTATATCACTTTTTCGCGCTTTGAGTGCCCATCCTGCCGCACCATCTGACGATAAAGGATAAAGCACAATTATGACACTTTTCTCATAAAAAAAATTGGTTTACAAAAAAAAAATTTATGTAGCTGAGCAGGGGGGGGGGAGTGATTTAGGAATTTAGGAAATTTAGAAATTTAAGAAATTTATCGGAAAAGACATTTTTTAAAACCTGTCCTGGGCCGTCCAGAAAGAAGGGAAAAGAAACGAGTTGAGTGGATATAAGTGTACTGTTCTTTAGTTTTAAATATATTAAACACTTTATTGAATGGGTTTTTTTTTCGATTAAAAAATTGCTTTTCTCTGAACTATTTTGTTATTGGTAAAAACTCCTCAGAATCGCAGCTCACGCCAGCGGCGTTCGGTTATATAGTCGGTCCTTTTGTTTCACAAACGAACCCGCCCACCTTGCTTCCAGCCTATACGGGCCCGACTCTGTATGAACACTTATAAATTGATGCTGAAAATACCCACAGAGTGCGTTTTATAGCGTCTAGTTTACAAAAAATTTAGGGGGAGGACCCCGAACACCCATCTTTACCAATATTCCACCACGCATGGACTGTCCCCACCACTAATTTTTGGCGATCTGCGCCCCTGATTACGGAGTCTTAAGTTTTGTACATGATATGTTTGAAGAAGAATAAAAGTATCATATTAAGTTAAACCAGTGTTGTCACAGATAGTCAAGAAGTAGGTTACGTTGAAATGTAGGGCGGACAGTTGCATGTTTACGTATACTACTTCCAGTTTGTGTATCTCAAGATTTTTATGGTGAACCTCTTACATGCTTTCGAGCAAGAGGTTGCAACATGTTGTTCCATCTGTGGTAGAAAGTGTTCAGAAACCCACGAAAATGTTAGAAAAAAGTTAGAGTTGGTCAATGAGACGAAAATTAACATAATCGGAAATTAATTGTGCTTTTTTACCCATTTTCGTTCATTTTAGTATAGGCCCCAAAGAATAGATTTAGCG